AAACATAAAATGGGGAAAAAATTATTATTTTTCTATTTTAGTTTATTTAGACAATATGTAACTATGGGATATCAAGTTGTCAACCCTCATCATTAAAAAAACAACCATTTTAGCTTTATGTCCTGTTTTACCAACCTCAGTTTTCATCTCTTGAGGAAAACATCTTTAACTAAGGTAATTGTTGCTTAAAAAATAATTTCATTACAGTTTAATTGATGTTTATGAAAAATTCCAAACATATAATTCATGCAAGACTTCAGGCTCTAAACAGTTTTTAAGTAAATAACTAAATAAAATACTATCCAAGACTATTCTCTGTTTTGTCAAAAAATGTAAAATATTCTATTATGAATTATAATATTAATAACTTTGTGAAATTTTCCTTTGTAATAAAATGCACTTTTATATTAATGAAAAAAAATGTCATAAAGTAATTTGTATTTGATGATAAAAATTTAGCTAGAAACATGTTTTGTCTCCCTCATCCATTTTATTTGATAAGGTCCTCAGAATACAGTATATTTCAAAAGAGAATGGTACTCAAGTCAGGGTAGGGATGCACAAGCTAAAACATATGAATTACATATATACTTCAGATGTATAGAACTTAACCAGCATTGACTTAAGACTTCTTTGTGAGAAAGATTTATTGGAACATACTAAGTTGTGAGTTTATAATGTATATGACAGTTTTTGCATAAATAGATTTATTCACAAGGACAAAAACTTCGCACAATTTTTGGGCAAATAAGAACTATTCTTTGACATAGTATATGTACTTTCATGCATTTTGTGAATCAAAACATTATTAATAACAGTTCCTTGTTACATTCACATATGCAGATAATGTCTATAAGTTCATAGCTTCCTGTTACATTGAAATTTTTCTTACTTCTTTAAGATTAAAAGAAAAGCAAATCACAATTCTGTCTCTCAGATTAAGCAATAAATATTTTGTTTGAAATAATTCCATTTATATTGATGCCTAGCCATGAATAGAATAATAATTGGACGTGTTGGAAGGCACCTGTTGGTTCAGTACACTAAATCTGGCTACTATGTCAGGCTGGATGATGAAAGCAGACCTAAGACTGCTAAAACTTTTAGCACATAGGAAGAACTGTATGAAGCCTGAACCACTTTTGAGGAGATGATGGAGTTTCTGCTTGGAGATGTATTTAAGTTTTTGTTTACACATTTCAGCCTACTTATGAGAACTTTGAAGATAGTATGCCAATATATCAAAGATACAGGTTTTAAATTGAAATAAAAAAAGTTTGTTAATGCTCTTGAAAGTAGCATTTCTTGTTCACATAGTAGGCAGAAAAGGAGTGTCCACTGATCCTTCAAAGGTGTTACAGTGATTGAGGAATGGCACCTACTTGAGACAAAGTGAGAATTCTGCAGATATTTTAAGTTTTTTGTCATACCACAGTTTGTGGTCAGTTTCTCCAAGATAGGTGCACCACTGCACTCACTGAAGCTGATTCACACTTAGATTAGATGTATGAAAGCAAGCAGGTATTCCCAATCCTAAAGTGTAATTTAGTCAAAGTACTAGTATTGGTTTATCAAGATTGGATGTGGATCCCAGTGGTAGTGAATTAGAGCAGTATTATCAGTATGGAGTGTGTAATTGTGTATGATGGTTGTACTTCTTAACTCGTGAACAACAGTACTGTATGACAAAGAAGGACTGCATGCATTATTACCATTACTTATATGGTGAGAAATTCAGTATTTGAGTGGATCTTGCAATTGGAGATGGATGTAAGTATTCAAGGTATAGGTGCATGTTAAACAAAGATGCTGCAGGAAGAGTATTTTTTTTTAGTAGAACACTATCTAGAATAGCAGTATGGAAATACCAATGAATTTTCTTATGATATGGTGGGAGTATGTTCATTTACTAAATGTATAGATCCTTAACATGTGACATTGGTCAAATCCAATACAACAACAGTGATTATATATCGCACAAACAGTAACAATTCTGCTTGCAAATGGACAGTGCGAATGATCCAGACATAACTTGGGTGCTGCTTTCTATGCAGTAAAGTAAAGAATAACCATTACAAAGTAAAAGTATCACTGATACACATAACAGTTGGCACAGTTTTCTTACCATAGTTAAAACTGGCCATGTAAGAGAAAACTATCAACAAGGTTTTGGATACAGATGGTCCGTCTCCTGAAATTGATAAAAGTAATCAGTATTTACTGGTCATTAATAATTATTTCATTGCACAGACTGAAGTTTACCAATTGACTAATGCTTTAGTGTCAGCTGTCACTGATGTGCTTGCTGAAAAATGATTAACACAATTTAACACAAAATACATGGATCAAAACACCAACCTCAGTAGTTAGTTGTTTCTAGTTATGTCAAGTATGGTTTTGATGAAAATACATACTTATCATTTCCTCTGTATGGTGGTTTTGCTAAACAAACAATACAGACATTGAAGGAAGTGTTTGCTTTATTTGTGAATTCTGATAGAAGCAGTTGGGATGAGTACCTACTATACATTATGATGGCACACTGTGCACCTGAATGACAATTGTCTTATTGCTCTATGAACATCTTGATGTTTGGAAATAAAGTAAAGCTCCCAGTAGATCTGAAGTATGCCCCTCTACATATTACAGGTGTACCAAAGGGTCTACAGAATTATATGGAACAGTTGAATTTTGCAATAAGTAATACATATGAATTTACTGTCATTACTTGAGTAAATGTGTTGGATTTGTTAAGATGTATTAAGACAACACATGAGCAAAATAAAAGTTTGGGCCTGGTGACTGGATATTGCTGTGGTATGTATGTTTCAACAGCAGATAAGCAACTAAGCTCTGGCTTGACTAGTCTGTATCATAACAGGTAAGCAAATAAAGATTTATAAGCATAAGGAAGAGTTTTATTGACAGTGGAACATGCTACATGTTTCATCAAAACCTTGCATGTTCAGAAACCATAGAAATCATCAAAGCAAACAATCTATCACTAAACCATGATAATGGCCCCTAGAAACACAAGTCATATTTGGCAAGGTCTATTCACTTTATCAGACTTGACCTTCATCTATATCCTGTCACCTGCTGACATCATTTCCATCACATTTAATGCTTGTGTCTTTTGCCTTTGTAACTATATATAAACCCTGTATTGCTTAGTACAGATCATACCCAAAGAAGACAGACCAAGATTTTGTCAAAACATATGGTATGTTCCACCATCAATAAAACTCTTCCTCATGCTTATAAATCATTATTTGATTACCTGTTATTATATTAGCATAATGTGCTTCCTTACTCAAGTAGTCTGTATTATGTATGTTCAAGCTCAACCTGGTGAATTATGAGGTGCTGTAGTTACTGCATATTGCAGTTGATGGATATCTCGGTTCCTGATGAGTCACATAAGGAAATGTCAACAGAGGAACAGTTTGACAGCTACTTTGGTCAACTAAGACACATGTTGGATTCCTAATTGTTATAACATTGGTTGTTTTACAAATTAATGACAGAAAGAAAGTTCTGCTTTTTTATCTCCTAAGCTATCAAGCAATGCTGGTTGCCAAAACATTGATGTGAATTTTGTGATAATTATCTGTCTAGTGAGTTGTGACAACATTACTGTGGTACAGACCATATGATACTTGCTAGTTAAACACAGCTGAAGTCATCATTTAAGATTCTAGGGCACTGATGATTAGTTTGTCCATTGATGATAACTAGAATTTTTTAAATTCTAATAAGCTGAGAGAACATTGTAACCCTAACTTCTCAGTGTGGATTTCTTTACATGATGAGGGGGATATCCTGCAGGGAAAGTTCTGCTTGTACAGTTTACACCTTTGGGATTTAGACATCCACCCCCTATGTTTGCCATTCTTGGCAACTCCTGAAAGAGAAGAGAGAATCTTAATGGTTGAGTGGTGCCTCAGTTGTGTGCCAAGGTCACTGCAACACACTACTTGGGCCTCGAAATACTATAGGTGGGAGGCATTAGAGTGGCTTCCCCAAGGTTAAGTTACTGGTCAGTTGAGGCTAGGGACATCCAAGTGTCCCCACTGGGTGTTGTGGACATTATTGAGTTGTATGGTTTGTAATACTACATGTAGGTAATTACAATGTATTTAAACCATAAAGAAGTTTTAAAAGAAAGCCAGAACTTTTTGATTCACTAGGGTTGACATAAGTAGCATTTATTTATGATGTTAAGAGCAATAGAGGGAACATATTGTAACCATTAGATTATTGAACCACATTAATACAGGTACTGAAGAAGATTTAAAATAAAGGATTATATACAAGTCTTTGAAAGTGCAATTTCTTATGTATCACAAAACAGCAGATTCAACTACATTGTGGTGCTGAATTTTTCAAATATTTATGATAGTTGCAGTTTTATTGCACAGAGCAATAGTTTCTTTTTTCTTTCCTTTTCTTTTGAGATAATGTTTGTTGTTTTTTTTTAGAAAACTAGCTTATGTACAGTATTACTTAACTTTAGTAATTAGTAAAAAGTTCATTAAATAACATAATAGCTTGTTTGTTTGATAAAATAGACCATACAGGTATTTGTGGTCAAACCTTAGCAATTTTTATTAAAGTCTTGATGTACCTTAGTGTGCTATGGCTAGAGGGAAGAAAATCTTACTCTTACAGACTTGTGATAAACACACACATAATTAAAGTACCTCATACAAAAGATTGACTATACTTGTAGAAAATTCATTGACAAAAGTCACATAAAAAAATAAAGGGTTGTTGTTCTTATTCAAGAAAGGGCAGTTCATTTTGAGACAAATTAATAGGTTTATTGTTACTGTGTTTCAAGTTTTATGTAGAGTTATTAGATTTACACTGTGTTTTTTATCACCTTTTATTGTCTGAATTATTCCAGTACAAATGAATTTTTTACTTGTACAGAACATTTAATATGTGTCTGAATTTTCTATTAGTTGATGTCTTAATGATTATTTTAATTTGAACAGTGAGATTTCCAACAATAATGGTAATAGTGACAACCAAAATCAGAGTAGTGAAGACACAACCCGATCTACACAAGTAGTACTCCAAGGGAAGAAGAATAGACTGCCTCTGACCAACTATGATGATTGTTCTTACAGTACCACTAAACGATTCTGTGTTAGCACAGAAAGAGATCCAATTGACAGCCCAGTACCAGAAGTTAGCAGGTAGATTATAAATGTCATGTTTTTTATGGAATCAACATTTTGGTCTTTAACAGTCTGAGACCTGTAGTTATGTGTTAATATGGTTTTTGTTACTTACTATAAGTGAACTTTTTTATTTTGTCACATCAAAAAAAGGAGTAAATGTTGATAACAGAAAAATAAATACATTGGCTATTTTGTTTAGCATTTGCTATATAATTCTTTTTTTGTAAAATTTTTACACAAAGTGAAATAATTTCATTTATTTCTTGGATCCTCATTCAGAATTATTATTTTGTGACTTTGGTTTTAACTCTTTTGTTACATCTACATTCATTATCAAATGTATGAGATTTTTACCACTTTATTATAGAAAATCATCTTTAATTTATAGCAAAATGTGAAGTATATTATTTCTGTTCTTGTTCACAATAGTCTTTCCAAGGTGACAATCCAATGGTTTTTTCTGGGATTTTTTTGTACCTTTGGCTCATGTTTTCTGTTGTCAAGCCACCCTGCAGTTTGACTGTTGCCTATATCATGTTTGATGACTTGATAAGATTTAACAATACAGTATATTAATTTCATAGATCTTTGTGATTTCTTTAACATTTTAGATATCGACACAGCTCATCTGTACCTGATTTGCATGCAGCAGCATCACAGTCTCCTGCTTCAATCACTGTTGATACATCCGTCCTCACTCATATGCTTCAACTATCATCTGTATCTCCTTCAACTATCCACAATCAAGTGACAGCACAAGAATCCAACTCTTCGATAGTTCTTCCTGTTCTCCATAGCACAGAATTTCAGTACATTCTTGGGGCTGCAACTGCCATAGCCACCAAAATGCATGAGGAAACAATGACATATCTAAACCAAGGTATGTATGTTCTCAGATAAAATTACTGTAAATACCTGATAAATTAAATTAATGTCACTTGATGGTCCTTTACATGATCTGTGATAGTGTTTATGAATTCAGTGTTCATGTCTGTTTAAGCTTTGTCATACAAGTGTTTTGTAAAATTATGTAAAACATAAACTGTATACATGTTATGTTTATTTTAATTAAGTTGTGCTTAGGAATTATGATCCTTTTATGAATCCAATTTTAATTTATTATACAGGACAGTCATATGAAATTAAGCTGAAAAAACTGGGAGACCTAACAGAAATGAGAGGAAAGTTATTAAAGGTAACAAGACTTTGTTTAATACTATTTTTTAACCCTGAATTCATTACTTAACCAGACCAAAATCCCTAAAATGTGGTGATGAATTGTTACATCATTACATTTGTTAGTACAAATTTTTTACTTTTGATTATTGTATCATTTAGATTTGTGTCTGAAGAGTCTAAAACCAGTGAAAAAAAAACTTTGAAGTTGGTTGCCCACAGTGACATATTTTGATAATGGTCGATAGTTATTTTTTGTAAACTTGGCTACAAACTTAGATATTTCAACTCAAGCAATAACTAGAAATTAATGTATTAAAAGCATTAAGAGAAAAAGTACATAAGATGACATTTCCAAAATGTTTTAGTGAAAGGAACAATGGATGAGCTTCATTAACATTTGAATCATCATCTTCAAAATCTAAGACAACATCTTCTACTCTAAAAAAAAGCATAAAAATATATATTATTTCCACTTCTAGTTTCCTTTGTTTGTTTTGAAAGTCTTTGTCCTCTTTGTTTTGTTTTTTCTTGATAACTTTCTTTCGTTAGATATCCCAATGCGGTTACATACGTGCTGACTGAATTTATTACACTTGAAAAACCTTGTTATTCTCAGGTACACTAACTTCCTTCAAAAGTAATCAGGTAGGACCCACAGAATAATAGTGGGTTCAGGCAGAAAATGTTTTATGGGAGTGAATCTAAATTCTGTGACTCTGAATGAGTTGTAAACAATAAAGAGACCAGACACAATATAAAATACAGTGAAAACAATATTTATTCCACAAAATAATCACAGGATAGTGCCTTCACAGGGATCTCTGTGAAGAAACAAAAGTCTATAAATCGGTCCTAGACTTAGAAAGTATAACATTTATACACAAAAAAATTACTCTGTTCATGCACTACCTTCATCACAGTTTATCATTGCTATTGAAAAATATGTGGGGTTGTAACCTCAGAGTATCACCTAACCCACCAGTGGAAAAGATTGTTGTGTACTTTCACGTATAATGATGTACTTTACAGAAATTTATACCATGAGATAGTGTATGTTATTTCATAAGTTAATGACCCGGAATAACAGTTAACTACAGTGAAAGAAACTTATCCACTTGCTTGACCAACATTTTGTAGTTAAAACTACTTATAAGCATGATATATTTTATGGAAATATATACTAGAAAACATAACATAACCATTTCACTTTGCATTTGCAAGTAGTAGGAGGCATAAGGTCATCTTTTGATGTTCTACTTTTGTTTTCATATTTTAAAATAGTAAATAGCACAAAAAGAAGCACTTGGCTTTGGGCTAGAAAATGGATAATATTGGTTAAAGGAAGGGTTGAACTAATTTGCAATGAAATGTTACAGAATGGAAGTCCTAGTCCACAAATGCAATTCTAGAAAATTTTCAGTCAGTTTTAAAATTTTATGGATGTTACATACTTCTGATTTACCACCAATCTGGGCCTGTTTAAGTTGCAACTTTAGGGTTAATCTAAATATATTGACATAAAATGTGGCTTTGCAAATGTAAGTCTTTCAAAAATATGGACATGTAATTATTGCAGATTTGTAAGTATACATGTATTGAGAAAGGAATTACTCTCAGCTGAAGTTTTATTTGAAAGACAAATTGTAAAATTACACTGGACAACAAAAAGTTTGTTACTGGAGAAAACTGGTGATTTGGGGTAATTTGATGGTGCTCATTTCAAAAATGGAGTTATCATTTACATTTTGAGTTATTGTAATATCTCAATATTTTAACAGCACTGTGAAATACCATGCAATCAATTCAGTACAATAGATTTATGCTGTAAAATTAAGTTTACTTGGACAGTTTAGTGGGTAAAAGGCATACATTTTTGATAACTTCAAACACTGACTGTATTGAATTGATATAAAATTCCAAATATATTGTTCATGTATGCTGTTTGTTCTCGATATAATTGTAGTGAATTGTACCACTTTTGCTTCATTCCCACACTCACCTGCTCCACCTAGGAATCATGAAACCCTCACATGCTCAGTTTGCTGAAACATTTGAGAAGTCCCTCGACTGTGCATAAAAGGGGCAGAGTCAGATGCCTCTCACTAACTCAGATGGCCACTTCTCCTTGCTCTGTGCACAGTCAAAACAAATCATACCTGCAATATGATCAAATTCTGCAAAATTTTGTTTTTTAAAATATTTTAAACTCTGTTTCTGTAAACATAAGTTCTTATATATTTTTTGGAAAAAATCCTTTGAAATACACCAAAGAACACTTTTTTACCTATGTTAATTATTCTATTAAATGTGTTCATATATGATATTACACAGTTTACTACCAATATAATAATATAATTAAATATATACAATGCCCCCTAACAATCTTACATGATCAATAACAGTCACTTCTTCAAAATCATTGTTAACCTATGCAGATCAGAATGTTGTTACTTGTACTGTGTTTTCAAATAAAAGTTTTTCAATACCTATATCAACCATCTCTGCTATAGATTTACTTCAAGTGTTTTCCTGGACATTAATGAAAAGTTATTGGTATTACTTTATTACTTAAAACTCCCTGTCTATTGATAATTTGACCATTTTTTCTAAATACAGATTAGTATAGGTTATTTGATTAGTTGATAGAAATAGGCATATGTGTTTTATATGAAAGTTTTATGTATAAAATGTTTCATTAATGGATCTCTTGTTTACATCTGTCTTTTAATTTTCCAGACGGAGCTTGCTTACACATAGTCTTGCTTACACATGTAACAAGCACACCATTTTAGTGTGCAAAGAGTAAATTTATAGTGAAGGCATTCATCTTTTTTGGTAATACTGTATTATGTATTATTGTTTTGTACATATAAAAAGTGCTTTTGACCAGACTTGCATGAAAAATGCTTCTGTCATAAATATGCCAGTTTATAGATCACGCAAAATTTTAATACCAATGATTGTTTTATTTATGTGTTTATAATAATCACTTCTTGAATGCACATAAGACTATAATGTTAAGAGTTTGAGAATTTGTTATTAAAACAGCATTAACATAAAACTATAGACAAAAAAATAACAGTGTGACTTTAAACTGTGGTTTATATTAGCTGCTTTATGTGTGTATTAACTTCTTATTGAATATAAGCAACTGTCTCAGTATGCAATAAACTTATTTATTATTCTAGAGTTTTATCAAAGTTGGATTTCAAGAGAGAAGGTTGCAATTTGTAGAAAAAGAACAAATCGCCCTGTGGCAACAGCAGCGTCCCAGTGAAAGAATATTAGAAATTGGTATGAGTTATACTTACAATTGTCAGAAGAAGAAGCATGTTTAATGACTCAATTGCTGAAAGAATGGCATTTGGAAAACTACATTGAATCTTTACCCTATGTTGTATTGAATAAATATTCACAAAATAATATATCTCTAGATTAAATTTTCAGAAGGTATAATAAGCTATGCAGTAAAATAATAGGTTAGTAACGTTAGATTTTTATATGATTAATTTTGTTGATGTATGTGTATACATTTTTTCAAGTACCTTCTGTGACACTAAAATTTCTGAAAATCAATTTTATTGTTATTATTATTTTCCTTTTTAATATGGATAATATGCACTATGGTGAACCCAGTCTTAGGTTGTTGTTGTTATAAATGTTTTGTCATATTTATTTGCTATTTTTATAATATTATCAATCATATATATTTATATATAGTATTATTGTCAATTATAGACATTCCACTGTCCTATGGAGTTTATGAAGTTATAAATGATCCTCAGGCAGTGAACAAATGTGAATTTTTATGGGATCCCACTAAGGAAACTGGAGTATTCATTAGGGTAAGGTTAATACATGTACTTGCATGTGTAAACAGATCTTAATTCTTACATTGTCAGGAAATTGTTACTGTACAAGCAATTATATTGTTCATAAGACTAAAATTCAAGTATTTTTTTTATTGGTTTAAATCCATAGAATCTGTAATTTTTAATCAGGATAGAATTGTTTGTGTATATGTTACACCAGTTTTTATCATTTATGCAGGAATGCTATCTAGGATAAACTACAAATTTTTAAAATTGACAACTGTATGATGTTAAATGTAGATTCACATCTGATGATGATATATTCTCTATATGTTAATTATTTGTTATTTTAATACTTTGTTTGTGTTCATAGTGGGCTTTAGCTAAGATCCTAAGATAAACCGAACTGACAACCATGAAGCCCTTTGCTATTAAAGGTGTGTTCCAGTACTCTTGGCTTAAATCCTGCCCTCAAATGAATCTAGTCACCTTGTAACAGAATAATCTAAACAGCAAGAACTTGTAAACTGTTGCACAGCACTTGGTGATTTTAATGATAATACTTACTCCTTAAATAATGAAAAATAATAATAATTCTTATTTAAAATATGTAATTTTTAGCATACATGTGTTTACTTATTTAGCAGCATAGCTATTTTGCTATGTTTCTCTATAGGGGTATTTATTTACTAGTAGAAAAATATTTTTTAAATAAAATCCTGATAGTATTAACTTCTTGACCTGTTCTTTACTACTATTGTCTTAACTTATAAAAAACTTAAGAAACAGCACACAGTCACTAAAGATAGTAATACTACATAAATTGACTAAGAAGGGAAGGAGTAGGTGGTGATTTCATATCCACTTTATCTGTGCAGTTTCAAATACAGTGTTGAACTGAACTTTGAAACCTTGCTAAATTACATATGCACTTAATTTTAATTCCTTTTAGTGGAATACTCAATAAAATTAGCATTTTTATTATGTTAAAGCTTTTTTATTAGCATATGAAATCCAAATCAAATAATAATGTATGTATGTGTTATTTGCTAGTCATAAAAGTCTTTTAAGAAATATCAGAATATATGTAACTTTCTGGGCATTTGTAAGTCCATGTTTCTATAATTATATCCATTCTCTGAACATTTAGAAATCCTTTTTTCTACAGTTATAACCACTTTATAGACATTTGTAAATCCCTTTTTTTTATAGTTGTATCCATTTTCTTTACATTTGTAAATCCTTGTTTCTATAATTATGTCCACTTGTTGGACATACATAAGTCTTTTTTTCTATAATTACAGGGCATCCAGTGTTCATATATTTTACTGTATTTTTGTGTGTATTCCTATATTTTCCTACATTTTTGTTGCATTCCTATATTTTTCAGGTCTTGGGGATTTTTTAATATCTAAAAATAAAACTGCCAATTAGATCCCCCAAAAAAGGTAATGTTAAGTACTACTACTATATGTAGCAGTTATGTATAACATTAATTGGTATTTTAATTTCAAAGGTGATAAAAGCCTTCCAAATGTGTTACATACATCCAAAATTTCTTTGAAATGAAAGTATGATAAAATTATTGTAGATTTTTTTTTTCTCTGGAGAACAAATTTCAGTCATCCATATTCACAACTGTATCAGCAATCCATATGTACAAGGAAGCCATGTTCATCAGTCATTAAGGTAATAAATATTTTCTTGAAAAAATAATTCTTATGCTGTGTTGCGACTCACTATTGCTATCCAATTTAATTGATAGTAATTAGTCAGAGCAGCAATATTTGGGGTTGGGTTGGATTATGAGCTTTAGATATAAAATGAATATTTGAAACACAATACAGTGTTTCAAATGGTTAAATACTTTCTTATACATGCATATTTGATTAATTGATTGTTTTGCTATTACTTAATTTCAGCTGAACATGGTCACTTAATATTTTTTGTTTTCAGAGAGTTGAAGAAGAAGCAACCTTTTTACTTACACTGTGTTCTTCGAAAACAAAAATTCTATCTTGTTGTTGATTTCAAATAATGGAAACTTTCTTTTTTCAGAGATGTATGCAGTGAGATTTTAATCTGAAGTATTGAAAATGCCTGCTGGAAAGACCAAATTTCAAGAACACTGGCTGCAAAAGAAGGGCAATAATGGACATGATATCAAACATTGGTGCAAAAAGGGCTCTGATGACTTTAAAGCATTTTGTGTTTTGCGCAAAAAGAAAATAGCATGTGATAGATCTGGACTATAACAATTAAAGCAGCATGCTAAGAGGAAAAAACACATTGAGATGGCTAAGAGTGCTTTGACATCATATCAAATGTGGTTGTGTTTTAAGGAGGCTAAGTCAACTGAAAAGGAACCTTTGATGAAGGTCAATATTGTAAATGAAGATGTGTTAGTTGCAAAAACAGTATGGTGTTAAAAGGTGGCTGCTAGCAATTATACCTTTTGCTCTTGCGATGGTATATCTGACATGTTTAAAGCTATGTTTGATTGTCCAGCTGCATCAAAATTCCACATGGCAAGGATGAAGGTATCATACGTGTTATCAGATGGGATAGGCCCCTATTTTACTGAAGCATAGGATGCCGATGTAAATGATTCCAAGACTCCATTCACACTTCATTTTGATGAAGCAACAACAGCTAAAGAGAAGAAACATCTTGACTTGTACATCAGATACTAGTCACCACTTAAGGATGAAGTCTAAGTTCGTTTCTATAAATGCTTGATGTTTGGTCATGCCAAAGGGAAAGATGTAGCCCAGGCTATCCTTAAAGCGACGATAAACTGAATCTAAATCTTCTTGTGGCACTGTGTAGTGATGGACTTAATGTCAGTAAAACAACCTGGAGAACAGTTAGATCTTCTCTTCTAGAAAGTGGCCATCCTGGTCTGGTAGACTTTGATTCTTGCTATATTCACACTGTCCACAATGCATTTGAACAAGCAAAGGAAACTCTTTCACAAGACATTGATGAATTTGCAGTTGACCTGTTTTTCCTTCTTTAAGCAATCTGTAGCAAGGAAGGAGGATTACAGCAATGTGCAAGTTGATATTGGTGTTGAAGAACACGTTTCAATGCCATGTATCATCTAGGTGACTTACTTTGTCACCTGTTGTGGATAGAATTCTTGAATAATGGGAACCCATTGATAAGTATATGAAAGAGGAAGAGAAAAGATCAAATGCCCCCAAGAGTGCAGCTTTTAGGAGGATCTTATTGAAGCTGAAAAGTCTGGAAACCCTGACTTTGTTTTACTTCATCCAGGCAGTGGCTCCACTCTTCCACTCATTCCTGGAGAATTTCCCATCAGAGAGTCCACAAATTCACATTCTGTATGATAAACTCAGTGAACTAGGAGGCTTATGTTGTGGTATGTAAGGCCAGAGGTAGTTGGAACAAAGAAAGGCATGATTTGTGTGAGGTTAAGCATTCAGATGTTAAGAACCAGATGGATGATGAACATATGATTGTTGGTGAACCAACTAGAAAAGCCATGCAAAAGGTGTCCAGCAGTGGCAAGCATAAGATGTTGCTGGGAATGCGTGCCTTTTATTCGTCTGCTATCACCTACCTAATTAACCATCTGCCTGTTTCAGAAAGTATCTTGAAGTACGTAGGATGCCTGAATCCAATGAAAACTGGAACAGTTCATTCCATCAAGAGGCTGGCAAAAAAGCTTCCCAATGTAAGTGAAACAGACATTGTGGAAGTACTTGATGAGTGGAATCTGTACTTAGCTGAGAAGGCCAGTATGCAGGACCATTCAGAAAATGAGGGTGAGGCATGTATCAATCATTACTGGAGGGATGTTCTTGCACAGATTAGAATTGATTGAAAACCTAAATACTCCAAACTGGGGAAGGTTGTGAAATCTTCACTGATTCTAGCTCATGGAAATGCAGACTTAGAGAGGGGATTCTCTGTGAATAAGTATTTGGTAACCATTGAAAGAGCATCAATGAATGCAGAAACCATCAATGCTGTTAGGATAGCTAAAGATGCTGTGAGATTCTTTGATCCAGAAGTGGGAAGGCCAGAACATGTGCCAATTACTGAAAAGCTTTTACTTGCTTACAAGGGTGCTTACACTACCTATGAACAAAGATTGGAAGTAATGAAAGCAGAAAAAGATAAAACAGAGCAACTGACCAAAGAGTCAAAAGCTGAGGCAGAAAGGTTAGAGGAGGAGGCAGATAAGAGAAAGGAACAAAAACAAGAGTTGGTAAAAGACAATGCTGAACTTTCTCAAGAAGAAGACAAATTGTGTGCCAAAGAAAAAGAAGTAAAGGATTCATTAAGTGTGGATGAGAAGCTTTTAAATGAAGGGAATAACAAATTGGCTAAGGCTATCAAGGAGAAAGATTTTGCTACTGCTATTGTTGCTCATGCAATGATCGAGGCAGGTCAGAAGAAATGCAAAGAGACTTCAAAAGTCCTTAAAGTCAACAATGGGATCAAGGCAAACCCTGGCAAAAAAAAATGAAAATTTTTTGATACATTAGCAAAGGATCTGGATTTGCCAGCAAAAAAAACAATATGTATTAGTAAGAGTATTTGTTAGCATGTAGAATACTCTGTGCAGAATTACTTAAGTAGATTTAGAAGAAGATTATAGTTAATAATGAGCTCCATAGTAAGTAGCCTATAGACAAATGTGCAGTACCTTATGTTCAGAGACTGTTGCAGTGATAAGTCTGTGTTATAAAGTTTATTTAATTCAGATTAACTGTTTGTAGTCTCATTTTTTCTGTTGCTCTAGTCTGGTTGACATGTGCTATGAAAAGAAATTGTATTAGTTATATTTCAGTATCTCTGATATTTGCTTACACAACTGAAATTAAGAATATTATGTTAATGTTTAAATATTTACTCATTAAATGTTACAATTTACATATTTTTTTCTGTAACTTGATTGAGTCAAATAAAAAATGTAATGCATCATGTGTTAAATATGATAAAAATATTAGTAACTAAGTGTGACTCATGAACATGATTTATGCCACATCAGATTGTTAGCTTATTCCAATAGAATATTAACATGTATGTTGGTACAGATTTTGAATCTATTTACATGTTTTTTTTAGTCAGCCTTCATGTTTGTTTTAAAGTGAACAAAATGGTGGAACTGGAGTGACTATAAGGGGTGGAGAAGGTCACCATAAAATATTTGTTTCTATTATTTTTCTTTGTGGTCCCATAATTTAATTTCAAATGTGATACACTGGCATTATTGGATATTATATTTTGACAATTATACCCAGTATTTCCTCCATATATTCCTATATTTTCCTATGAATTTCATATATTTTCAAACCTCAATTTCTGTATTTCCTATATTTTTCTTGGCATAAGTGGCTGGATGCACTGTAATTATGTCCATTTTCTGGACACTTGCAAGTCCTTGTTTCTGTAATAATAATAATAACTACTTTCTGGACATTTGTAATTCCTTTTTTTTTTATAGTTGTATCCATTTTGTTTACATTTGTAAATCCTTGTTTCTATAATTATAACAACTCTTTGGACAATTATAAGTCCTTTTTCTATAATTAAATTCATTTTCTGGATATTTATAATTCATTGTTTGTACAATTATAGCTCCTTTTCTGGACATTTTTAAATCCTTGTTTGTACATTTATAACCTCTTTTTGGACATTTGTAATTCCTTACTTGTATAATTATAACTCCTTTCTTAACATTTTTAATTCCTCATTTCTACAATTACAACCCTCTTTCTGGAGATTTGTAACTCCTTGTTTCTATAATTATAACCACTTGATGCATTCTAAAAACTGATGCCAAGTTCATACAACTAGTATGAACATATATTTTATAGCATAAACAACTGAGCACTTGAATTGTATCACATTTGAAGTGAGAATGTTAGATATCCATTTGATCTCTAGAAAAATAAATTTAATAGCCTTCTGTTGATCACATCTTCATTAATGTAACATACCAAGTATGCAATGAATTCTTTGAGCTCTTTGTATTAGAAGCTGATACCAGTATCATAGATATAAAATATTCATGATGTTAGAAAAACACGTAGGTTCAAGAGGTCTTGATAGAAATGAATAAAAACCCTATAACCCGAGCGCTTTCGAAAGGTGGACCTTTCTACATTTGTTACTTGTTTTAGCTCAATAATAAATAACAATGAAACTTGAATTTTCTATCACATTATCAAATTTGCTAGTTGAAACAAAGACCACTAGCAAAATTTACTTGTAGCCAAAATACTTTAATTATATTTGTGATAATCATGTTAAAGACATTAAACAACTTAAATTCCTATAAATAGCAGTATAATTGGTAAATCTTTTGTAAAATATGTTACAGATGATAGCTTTTGATAACAAATTCCTAAGAAACACTGAAATTGTGAAATTTGACAATGTTAATTTTGAGTTACTTTTAAGGAATGCTTCTTGATATCTTCATGTTTCTTGATGTGAATAATTCTGTGGCAAAATATGATTATATCTGTTTATTTTCCAAGGCTAATTCATTAAGTATTGTTGTCGTTTTTTCTGAGTAAGTGGTAAACAGTGTCTTGAGTGTATTTACATTATGGCTTACATTAGCATCTGGATCAGTCATAAGACCTACTAACCAGAAGTTCTTTGGTTATTTATATTTTGATTATTTTTAAATATATATTTTTCATTGAAACTAAAGATGTTTTGCAGGTGAATTGCATTAGCACAGAATTTACACCTAAAAAGCATGGTGGGGAAAAAGGAGTTCCATTTCGCATCCAGATTGAAACATACAGCCATAGTGGTGATCTTGCTGAAAAGCTGCATGCAGCTTCTTGTCAAATGAAAGTATTCAAGGTATATTATAAGATATACATACATATATATAATGTCTCACAATTAACTTAATTAGCAGCATTTTTTGTTTAATGCTATGGTGATGGGCTTATGTATTTTGCTTGACTGTGTAACAACCTTGTAACTGTGGAATTATACATACTAAACCTCTGAATGTATGTAATATATCAGAATTTTTAACAAATCCCTCACGAGCCAATGGGAGACATTTTTGTTGGAAAAAAAATACCCAATCCAGTTTTTTTATTTGGACTGAACTTTTTTGCACATTTTTATTGGCTAAAAAGAAGGCACTTCTTGCACTGTTTTAACATTGGAGCTGCAAAAAGTTATTTTCTAATTTCATTTATATAACCTATCGAATGCCCTAAATAAATATAAAAAGTTTTCAGTAAAACTATATTTTATCTCTTATTTTCTTTACCCTAACACTGTGTATAAACTCAGTCCATTTGATTGACCTTTTAACATCCACAAAACAAAAGAATACAAAATATAAATTACCTTTTTTTTTCTAGAATGAATGAACATTTTAACAAACAGTTGCACACTATTTATTTTTACAGCCAAATCTGATAGCTTTTTTCATTTAGCAGGGTTCCATTGGTGGCAAACAAAGAAAACAAAACTGAAATACATCTTATTAGAAGAGATTAAGGCCTCATAGCTGTCAGTAAACAGAAGTGTTGGTTTTCTGTTGATTAAAAATAATCCAACAAACAATGTCAATGACATTTAAAACAGTTTTTGAAAGCAGGATATTCTATGAAGGGTATAGCGTGTGGCCTTCACTTTATTGCTTATATCTCCATAAATCAAAAAGCGTTGTAGCTACAAGTTGACAGTTTAGCTTGGAGATGTGTATAATATAACGGAGAAATTTCACAGAAATCTACAAAGTCATATAGGAGTACAAGAAACTCAAAATGGGCAAGTTCAGAATGAAAAAGTGTAACATGATGCAAATAAATGAAGATATAGAATTTATTTAAATATTTCAGTTTAAAAATAAAAAATTAATACTTGTGTGATACACAAATTTCAATTATAAACTAGTTTAATTAAATTTTGAATATAACTAGAAAGCTATGACATGCACTTTGACCTACTTGGTTTATTGATTATTCAACATAAAAATTTCTTTTTCAGTGTAATAATGTAATTATTCAGTTAACTATTAATAATTCACGGAACTTTGTTTATCACAGTGGAAGATAATGCTTTTGTAGAAATAATCAGTGATTTAAAGTTTAATATTGTCTACTCAAGTAAGTGCAGTTTAGAACTGTAAATGTATGACAACAGATGACCTGTTTTTAATATTCAGAAGGAATGAGAGCTTCAATATATTATGCATTTCACTTTGGACATGTAAAGGAAGAGATTATGCACTTGAACTGGATTTAAATTAGCAAAATGTTTAAAATTTATTGAAACAAATTAAGATGTGGAAGGATTCAAACCTAAGTCTCTGCTTACCAGGTGGATTCTTTAGTTAACTAAGTTTTTGCATGCTGAAGTTGAGTATTTTTGTGTGGCTGTGCTCTCTTGAATATTTGACATATGATATAAAAACTTGCTTGTTGGAGGAATTATTTTAGTGATATATCAGTTGCCCTAATCTAATAACTGTTTTATTTTTAGCCTAAAGGTGCAGACAGAAAACACAAAACGGATCGAGAGAAGATGATCAAGAGGCCGCAATCAGAACAAGTACATTTACTTTATTGTACAATGTCTGTTCTATAAACAAAAGTAGCTTTACATAAATGAATATGAAAGTTGACAGAAAATTAACACATTACATATACTATATTTTGAAATGGCAGAAAAGTTATTGAAGTCAGTTACAAGGTTTTTTTTACCCAGCAATGTTGTTTATTATCAACCATATGTTTTATACTCTACTTTTATACATGTGTTATAGAAATCATGAATATATTTCTATATTACAGAGTAACATTACTGCTAAGTGGTATTCTTGTTTTCATCGAGTAAAATACAGGGTTACTTTTAGTAAAGAAAAAAAATTGTATTTAAACTTTCTAATACAAAAAATGTATGTATATTTTTCTGAAAAGAGACTGTGATTTACTAGAATTGTACTGTTAAGTAGGTTACAACTAATCAATATAACTTCCAATGGAGAGAGATGTTACAGAAAAGTAATATACTTGGAACAGTCAGGTTATAGGGAATTTTATGTGTGTTGCTCTGTATTTCTTTTCATACTTTTTTGTGGATTATGTATTATTATATTATTTTTTGTATACTGAATAATTGATAATTTTCATAAAATGGTTGTTGATATTATTTCTAAGTATATATTTAATATTTGATCCACAGGAGAAGTTTCAACCATCTTATGATTGTACAGTCCTGACTGAGGTTAGTAAAACTTTTAAGTTGAAAATTCATACACAACGTTCAACTAACTAACAGTTTTTGATCACCAAATCAATTTTCTTTTTCAAAATATATATATATTTAATGGATAACCTTTAGTGGCATATTCAGTTCAGTTTGAACAATCATTTGTATCTATATACAGAGTGTTGAACAAATTATATTAAATTGATTTAAGAGTCTCGCAACAGTCCAAGTGCACAGAAATTCACAAGCACTGCATCCAGAGACTTTACCTGTTTGTTTTTGTATGGACTACAGATTTACCAACTCTTATGATTTAGGTGTAATTGCTCCAATTTTTTTCATCTTACACCTGTACAAATTGTTGTGTTATTTTGTGATTTTATGCAAAATTCCAGAATTTTTCACCAACCTATTTTTCTACTAATAATTTTCTGGAAATAATTCACCACTCTCTGCTTTGCATCTCAATCTTACAAACACCTGAAATGGACTATTAAAAAAGTGTGTAATTAGTAAGCAGCTAGGGTGCACTGATAATTTTTTGAGAGGAAAATGGCAGAAAAACGTGGTTCTGCTTCATCCCCAATGACTCCAACAAAAAAAGAAAAGTTTATAGCAAGCAGAAGTTTAGACATGAGTATTCAAAAAAGGTCAATGATATTGTATCATTCTCAGTTGTTCTTTATAATCAGTAGAGTACTTTGTTGGAAAATTCAAGCTATTCATTGCAAGGGATGCACCTTGGGCCAGTACAATGAATTGTCTTCAGCAGCAACTTCTCACCTACCAGGTTGATCCAATGACTGGTGTAGGTCTCAGTGAGCCAGCAGACAAGTGTTGGTATAGTATTGGAAAAAAGAAAGATGAGCTGGGCAACATTAAATATGATAAACTCTCCAAAGTAATGAAGTCTATCCTTATAATACCACACAGCAATGCAGGTTGTGAGAGGACAGACTTTTGAAGATCAATGTCAAACTCCACCTTAGAAGCAGCGCTGATAAGAAAGATGGAGATGGCACAAAAACCTTCTTTCTCCAAGAATTTACAGTTGATATCCTAAAGGAAGCCAAGAGTGTTATTTACACTTAAATAAAACATAATTAGTACTGACACCATTTCTGTTTACATTTTTTGCTATTCTTACTTTGTCCCTTTGAACCCTATCGCCACAGGTATCCTTCTGCGCATGCCACAAGGTTTTAGTGTCTTACATTCAAAACCTTATTAAACTACTTTTTGTTTATGTTA